GATGATACAAATAAGACTGTGTGTCCTCTAATGGGCCCAGTCCTGCAAACCATTGTAAGTTAGAGGCTAGGATGGTGTATACTGTGCCAGAAAAGCCCTCTGGGCTTACACCAGGAGCACAGAATGGGCTGATCCTAGGAGAGGAGTCAATGGAAAGTCCTCATCCCTTAGTGACTGTGAAGGGGGCATTGTTCTGTTCTGTGGTGCTAGAACAGAATCAGAGCTATAACTAGGATAAGGCAACCAGGGTCTAGGCCCAGAGTACTGAAATGTGAAGGACCACTGACTTCAAGGATGCTCTTTCAGAGGGTAGAAACAACTCAGCTTAGCACTCAGTCATCAAGAATATTTAGTTAAAATAGGAAGTTCTCAAATAATACTTCCTCACAATCCCCTCCCCATCCTCTGCCCCCCCCAAACTGGGTCCATCCTTCTTCCTTCCCTGGTAGCGGTCTCCCCAACAGCCTTGTGGTGTCCAAGGGCCTCTGTTTCTCTTCCACAGAGTGGTGTCCCAAGGTCTGAGGTCCCTCTCTATGCCAACTCAACAGACTTTGTCTTAAAAAGTTGATCTGAGAGCACCATTTGTGCTGCTTACCTGGTATACATTTTTGTGATGCTTGTCCTTGGTCCCAAAATTCCTAGAGTGACTTGCGCTGAATTTATATGCACCAGGTTCAATTTTGGGGGGCTGCCCCCCAAATCATAACATTTTGGTTCATTTTGCTGTCACCAGCATTGTCTCTTGAAAGCCTTAGACATGACCATACATCCAAGTCTTAACAATTGTCACTAAAGAGTCTTCAGCTCCTATATCTAAGCACTCAAGGTGACAATGCATCTCAGGAACCATCTCTTTACTTCACACCCGTGGAAAACTCAGAAGCTCACAAACAATGAATACGTCCCTCTCCATCTCCAATGAATCCCATTTCCCCGAGGGCTCCTGCTCAGTCCACCTTGTGGTTTGAACTTTCCTCTCAAAGCAAGTTAACTTGGGCTGGTTGGTAAAGAGTCAGCCCCCAACATTCTGCTGAGTCCCACTTTCACCTCTGGGGATGTCCTCATCCTCAAAAGGGGCATGGCCCAGTACCTGGTCCCCAAGTCCTCTCAGAGGGGCTGTTAACAGTCATGGCCACACCCTCCACAGGAAGATACAAAAGCCCAAACCAAGGTTCACCCCAGTTAAGCTTACCAAGTGACCAACTCCCAACACTCATCATCTATGGGTCACAGATTTAAAGCTGGAAGGGATCTTAGCCACTATATAATTCAATTCCCTAAGATTTCCCCTCCAAGACTGGGTGTCCCAATCTCACCCAGACTGTAAGTACAGGGGCTACCCATGGGACCAATCCCATCACTAATAGGCATGGGAGCTTTGGCCTGCTCTATTTCCTACCTGGGTCTGCCATTTCCAAGCAACTTGGTGGCCCCCTCCTCCCAAGGGCTTCCCCCATTGACACCATCCTTCATATGCACACCCAATCAGCGCAGCTCGATGCAGTTGAAAACATTTGAGTTCAAGAGATCTGCTAGCCTCAACCTTCCTGGCAGCAGGGATTATGACTGTGTCCCTCCAGGTCCAACTCCAACCTTCTCATTTTACAGATGAGGGAACTGAGGCCCAGAGAGGTTAAATGATTTGCCCATGGACACACAGGTAGTAACATAAGCAGGATCAGAACTGGAGTCCCCTGACTCCAAATCCAGTCTTTTTTCAACTGTCACACTGGCTTGGTAACTCTGCTAAATGATATGGATCATTGGCTCATACATTTCCTAAAAAAATATTTATTTATTTTTATAATTCATTTTATTTTTTTCTCAATTACGTCAAGACAATTTTTAGCACTCAATTTTACAAGATTTTGAGTTCCAAATTTTTCTCTCTCCCTCCCCTCCCCTCTTCCTAAAATAGTAGGCTATTAGATATAGGTTATACATATGCTATTGTGTAAAACATATTTCCATATTAGTCACAGTTGTAGAAGAAGAAAGAGATCAAAAGAAAAAAAACACGAAAAAAATTAAGTGAAAAAAATTTGCTTGGCTCTGCATTCAGAGTCCATAAGTTCTTTATCTGGATGTGGACAGCATTTTCCTTTGTACTTTGTATGAAGTCTTGGATCATTTTGTTGCTGAGAAGAGCTGAGTCATTCATAGTTATTCATCACAAAATGTTGCTGGTACTGTGTACAATGTTTTCCTGGCTCTTCTCATTTTACTTTGCATCAGTTCATATAAATCTTCCCAAGTTTTCCTGAAACTTGCCTGTTTATCATTTCTTACTGCACAATAGTATTCCCTTACATTCATACACCACAGTTTGTTCATCCATTCCCCAATTGATGGGCATCCCCTCAATTTCCAAAATTTTGCCACCATGAGAAAGGTGCTATAAATTTTGCACATATAGTTTTTTGCACTTTTTTATACTTAGAATTCATTTTAAAAATACAAGTTCTCACCTTTCCTCTAGTCCCCCCCATTCATTGAGAAAGCAAGCAATATGATATCAATTATACATGTGAAATCATGTAAAACATTTTCATGTTATATTGTCTCATAAATTTAGGGGTGAAGGGGACTGGAGGGATTGTTTAATCCAAACATTTCATTTCATAAATGAGAAAAATGAGGTGCAAGTACTTAGGTGAATCCTCGAAGGACACATAGGTAATAAATATCTGAGACAGGATTTAAACCCTAACTTTCCTGTGTCTTTTGGCCTCACTTGTTAAAGGAATGTCAAAATTGTTATGATTTGTCACCAAATCAGGATCTTACCTTTGATGATAACGATCACATCACTTAGACAGAGCCTCACCAGCTGCAACTGGGCCAACTCACCAGGGTGAGCGTGGAAAGGATGTACAGGTGGAGAAAGCAGGCATTTACTTCAGTGCCAGCTTAGGCTTCCATGCCAATAAAGGGACCTCATATGCTCCAGTCCAAACTGTACTGAGTATTAATGGTGGCCATTATGGACCCTCATTCAGCAGAAACCCCATCTCCTGTGATCAGGAGATATTTCCTCAGCTGACCCTAAAGCTCATAACAGACATGAATTGCTGATGACGCTGAGGTCCGTAACATTGTTGCTGAATAGACATCGATAAACCACTAACTATTGGGTAGGTAGGTTGCACAGTGGATAGAGCATCTTCCTGAGTCCAAATCTGGCCTCAGATGCTGACTAGCTGTGTGATCCTTGACAAGTCACTTAACTCTATTTGCCTCAGCTGCCTCATCTGTAAAAATGAACTGGAGAAGGAAATGGCAAATCACTCCAGTATCTTTGCCAAGAAAACCCCACATGGGGTCACAAAGGGTTAGACACAACTGAAAAATGACTGAACTGACCTGAAGCACTATGGGCTAGGCACTGTACTCAGGCTGGAGAGATGGACAGAATATAACAAGGCATGCTAGAGAATACTATACCAAGAAATATCTGTTATTGTCATGTTTGCAGAAAGCTTTCTACTGATGTAGGGTCTGCCTTTGCTACCTTGAGCAAATCCCTTCTCTTCCCTGGGACTCAGTTTCCTCAGCTGTAAAATGGGAGGGTTAGGTTTGATGGCCTCTGAGTTCCCTTCCAGCTCCAGGACCCTTAATCAAATTTCCTTTGATCCTCATCACAACCTGAAAAGATGGATTCTGTAGATAGAGCAGAAAGAGGATTGGCTCTGGACCTGGGTTCAAATCCCACTTCTGACACTTCCTGCGTGTGTGTGATGTCTCTGAGCCTAGCTGAGCCCCAGTTTTCTCCTTTGTAAAAGGAAGAAGTTGGACTCGATATGACATCTAGGGTCTCTGCCAGCTCTAAGAGCCCAATATTCTTATCTTCTAGATGAGATTTGATAGAGGTTCAGGGACTTGTCTGTGGTGTCCCCCCCAGAATCCAAATCCAGATCTCTCCTACCAACAGGTGCAGAGCTTTTCCCATCATAAAACACTGACTCCACCCCCCCCACACACACACCTGGGGCAGTGCAGACTCTTTAAGTGACTGAGGGGGATGAAAGGGACCTCAGCATTCCCAGGGATTTGAAAGGGCTCCATTGTAAAGATGGGCAGATGCTGGCACGGTGGGTAGAGCTCTGGGCCTGGAGTCAGGAAGATCTGAGTTTAAATCTGATTTCAGATACTTCCCAGTTGTATGACTGGGCAAGTCACTCAATCTCTGTCTGCCTCGGTTTCCTCAACTGTAAAATGACAATAATAACAGTACCTACCTCCCAGGGTTGTCGTGACAAACAAATGAGGCGGTATTTGTAAAGCACTTTGCCTGATGCCTGCACACAGCAGGTACTTACTAAATGCTTGTTTTCTTCTTTCTTAGAGGAGATCCCAGAACATCGCTCTCCTCACTAACTTCTCCCTCCACTGCTGGGATCCATAAGATCATGGACCTGGAGCTGGAAGGGGCCTTTGGAGGTCACTGAGTCCAATCCCCTTATTTTACAAATGAGGAAGTTGCATTTGAGAGATGTAAAATGATTCACCCAAGACCATGCAGGTAGTAAGTGGTCGGATGCTCTCGTTTTACAGAGGCCACATGGAGTACTAGACTCAATCAAGAAAACCTGGGTTCAAAACCAACTGTAGGCATTTACTAGCTATGTGACCCTGGATAAGTCACTTCTGTACCTCAGTTTCCCCATTTTAAAATCAGGGAGGGTAAGAGTCAGTGGCCTCTAAGGTCCCTCCCAGTTTTCTATGACCCTATGAAAAAAAAGGCACTTACTCAGGGCACTTACATATTATGTAAGGTCACACATGTAGCAAGAGGGAGGGCTGGGAGTTGAACGAGGATCCTCAGATCCCAGAGCTCATCCCCAATTGTTGTCTCCAGGCTTTGATGCCATAGCTCTCCTTACTCCAGGCACATGAGGGAGCAGTGCTGATTAGAGGTAAGGCTGTCTCTGGGGTTGCCCAAGTCATGACTGTCTTGCTCAGCTGATGACCTCTTTTTCTCCGCCTTCCCTCCTTACCAGTCAAGAGGCAGCGTACAGCAGGGAGACCTGGATGGGGCCAGGAGGCTGGGCCGCCTGGCAAGGATGCTCAGCATCGTCTGCATTGTGCTGGGAATCCTCATCATCGTCATCTATGTGTCTGTCAACTTCACAGGTAAGCCTCCCAAAGGCTGGTGGACGTCTTCCATCTAGCCTTGCAGACGCCTTAGCTCCAGAACAGCAGAGAGGAAAGAGGGAGGTGGTTCAGCTGACCCCTTCAGAAGACAGTGGCAAGTGAGGGTGGGGACCCTGGATGAGCCATTCAGGAACTTCCTGCTTTCCTAGAATACATCTCTAAGATAGCCAGGGTGGCCCTAGGCACAAGAAACAGCAAGGTCTTTACCCACTTAACTGGCTAGCTGTGTGACCCTGGGCACATCACTGAACCTCTCTGTGGGGATGAAATGGGGAGAATAATAACACATCACAGGCAGTAAGGATTAAACAAGATAACATATTAAAGTGCTTTATCAATGCAATAATGAAACTAGTGATTGACTCTTATTATCCCTGGACTCGGTGGGCTGGTTTTTTTTTTTCCCTAAAAAATCAGACCTGTGATTTCATTGGTATTGAAGAAACTTCCATAAATGCAAATGAGCGCCTCTTCTGCAATTACTGTCTTAGAAAGTTGCTTGAGGTCCTGAGAGGTTTCAGTGACTTGACCTGGGTCCCATAGTCAGTACTGATCAGAGATGAGATTTGAATCCACGTCAATCAATCAATTAACATTTATTTAGCACCTACTATGTTCCAGGAACTATGCTAAGAGCTGGGGATACAAAAGGAGACAAGACAGTTCCTCCCCTCAGGAAGCCTACAATTTATAACATGCAAACATATATGAGTACATATATATATATAGAGAGAGAGAGTTAATGTATATCTATATCTATATCTATACATATAATCTCAAGCTATCTGTAGGATAAATAGGAGAAAATTAACAGAGAGAAGGCACTAAAATTAAGAGGTTGGGGAAGGCTTCTTGTAGAAGGTGGAATTTTAGTTGGAACGTAAGCCAGCTGTCCACCTGCTCTCCAATGACTCCACTCTCCATCCTTGTAACTTTCTAAATCGAAATGTCCCTCCCTGGCCACCACTTCCCCACATGTGTCGTCATCTCCTAATTAGGATGTAAGCTTCTTCCACAAAGGTAGGGAGTAGCTTCAATTTTGCATTTGCATCCTTAGGGCTTAGGACTGTGCTTGACACACCATAGGAGTTTAATAAATGCTTTTTCCTCCATTTATCCATCCATCCATACATCCATACATACATACATACATACACCATGCCAACTTCCAAGGGATTTTTTTCAAACACAGGATTTCATGCACTGAGAAGCACTGCTGTGCCATGTGACCTGGCCTAGGTCACTTCTCTTAGATCCTCAGTTGCCTTATTTGTAAACTGGAGGGGGTTGGAGTGGATGGCTTGAGAGAACCCTTCGACTCTAGGATTCTGGGATTCTGTGACTTCTCAATTTTCTTCCAGCTCCAAATCCTATTGTCCTAAAATATTTCACTTTTTTGTTTCCTTATCTGTGACATCTCTCGGTTTCCGTATTTGTGAAATGGGGATAATGTCTACCTTACATGGTTGTCATGAGGATCAAAAAGCAGTTTAAGAACTGGAAAGTCCACTGTACATAAAGGTATCATATGCAGGACAGAAGTGATGGAAAGAGGACTGGCTTTGGAGTCAGGAACATCTGGGTTCAAATTCTACCCTCTGACACTTAACAGCTACGTGGCAAATCAGTTAACTTTTTCTGAGCCTCAGTTTCTTCATCTATAAAATGAAATTGATAATACATCCCTTCCTCACAGAGTTGTCCTGAGGACCAAATGAGAAAACTGTATGCCATCCCCTTTGCAAATCTAAAAGTGATGTGAAAATGTCCATGTTACAATAGCCATGGGGCGTATGCAAGAAGTATAAAGGGGCCTTGAATGTAGAGTGGCTGGCAGTGTTATGAATTCAGGGAGTTGGAACAGTTGCTGTTGAGTAGCTCATTTCCTTCCTGTGGTGCCAGGAGGCACCGACATCAATCTCTTCCTGATGGGGGAAATGGAAGCCCAGAGACTCCAGGGCTCCAAGGGCAGAGCCAAAGGTCCAGCTGGCCTCCTGATGGCTCCAATGCACTCCCTCTCTCCATCCCTACCTCCCTTTTCTGCGCTGCCCCTACATAAATAGCCACTGTCTTGGCCACTGCCCCTTAAGATGGCAGTGAGAGTAATTATTAATATCCCCATTTCATGGATGAGACAACTGAGGCTGAGAGAAATTGCCCAGAGCCACACTCCTTCCATTAGACCGGGTGTTGCACTGAGCTGACTGACTTCATTTCTGCCAGGGACCCCAACTCTGTCATTCTTCTTTACTGCCTAGATGGCGGACACTCTTTCATAAGTCAACAGGATGATGATGACTGCCACCAGGTCTGCAATGGGGGCCCTAGAGAAGCAACTTAATTGGAGTGAAGTGGAAAATACTAGATTGGTAGACAGAGGACCTGGGTTCAAATCCAGGCTCTGTTACTTACTAGCTTTGTGACTTTGAGCGATTCAATTTCATTCAGTTCTACAAGCATTTATTAAGGCATTGTGTTAGTTACTGGGGAAAACAAAATAAAACAAAACAAAACTCTTGTCCTTCAGGAGTTTACATTCTACTTGGGGATGCCGCATGTACTCAGAGAAGAAAATATGAAATGTATACAAAGTCATTGAGAGAGGGAGCGAGTGAGAATAACTGAGGAGAAAAATTCTGCAAGAAGTGAAGACGGTGCTTTGAAGGAAGCCAAACAGTATGGTCTAGTGGATAGAGAGCTGACTGGGTTCTGAAGGCCAGAAGACCCAAGTTCAAATCCCACCACTGACACATATTGGATGTCTGATGCTGGGCAGGTCACTGGACTTCAGTACTCTGAACAGCTCTCCGAACAGCTCTCCAAGACAATAACTCAGAAAGAAGGTTATTACACTGTGCTGGTAAAGGGAGTTCCCTCCCCCAGGAGATCCCTGTACTAATGAAATCCCAAGTACATTTCCTATCACTAGGGACCCTACAAGGTTGAGGTGAGGAGGAGAACTTTCCAGACATGAAAGACTTCTTTTGCGAAGGTGTGGAGGTGGGAAGTTGAGTGTTATGTACTTGGGACAGTTAGGAGGCTAGCTTGCCTGGAAAGGAGAGTATGTGGAGGGGCAGTGATATGAAATGAGGCCTTTAGGGAGGGCTTTAAATACCTGGCTGAGGATTTTGTATTTTATTCTAGAGGTAAATGGGACCACTGAAGATTTTTGAGGGAGGGTGGGGAAAGACAAGTGACTGTTTTAGGAATATCAGTTAGGCAGCCCTAATGGAGGTTGGCTTGAAGAAGCCAACTCATCTATCGTCTCTGGGCCTCTGTAAAATGAGGGTTGAGGTGATCTCTGATATCTCTTCCAGTTTTAGATCTTATAATACTACCAGCCCAAACATCTAAATGGAAAACAAGGTTCTGGATTCCTATCCCAGCACACCTCCCCTTGAAGCCTGCCTACCTTGTGGGTTTGTTACTGTCATGAAATCTTAAATAAACAAACTGGAAGCAGAAATGGGATGCTCGTCTCCCTCAGGACATAAATCTCTCTCTGGTAGTAAGCTGGACGTGTAGGGAGACACATTCATTACCCGGGTCACTGGGGGACCAGTTAGAGTTTGCTGTACAAAAGAACCAATCACACATGGCTGAGTGTCTTATCTTACCATCCACCCAAGGCAGTGTTATCAAGATCTCAGCTCAATTTCTGATCTGACTTGATAAACCTCCAAACAGTTCTGTGCAGCAGGAAGTGAAAATATTATTCTTGTTTTATAGATAAAGAAAATTAGGATGGGTAAAGTTCACAGGGCTCAAGATTCAGAGACCCCTAACATACTTTAGTTCAACTCTCGTTTCCTTTTTTGTTTTTAGACAGGTGTTGGTTAAACTCATTTATTTTAATGTTTTTGATATTTGGTATTTCCATCCCCCCAGCAAGTCATTCTCTATAACAAACACTTTAAAAGAGGTCAGGAAAAGCAGCTTAGAAAAACCAATCAACACTGAAACTGAGGGTGACCGTCTATACACTATTCCTCATCCCTCGTCTCTTACCTCTACAAACGAGGGAGGGAGGTGCATTTTTTCAGCTCTTCTCCAGGGCCAACCTTGGTCATTACAGTTATGTTATGTTCCATTTCCTTTCTTTTCTTTTCTCCAAACTTCTTATTTTACAGAGGAGGCCCAGAGTCACACAGCCAGGGACTCCCCTCCCTTGCTTTTGATGGCCTCAGCCGACAAACACTATACAACAAAAACAACTCAAAAGATCTGAGGGCTTAAAATGGGAGGGGAACTTAGGGGACATCTGGTCTAACATTCTCATTTTCTAGGTGTGAAATTGAGGTCCAGAGAAGTCAACTCGATCCCCTTTCTGGAGTTCAGCTCTTCAATGCTTCTCTTTTTCTCTTACAGTCTGGAAGGATTAGCCCAAGAATTTCTGGAAAGAGGCAGGTACTGTGTAGATGCCACCTTGTCTGGACTCCCCAGTGAACTGAGTGCCCCGGCCACTAGTCTTCTGCACCATCCATCTTGGGGAGGGCATGCAGTTATTCCCCGAGTCCTCGAGTGGTGATGCTACACCCCATAAACTTCTCAACCACAGACTAATGAAAGGGCTTGGATTTCAAGGAGAAACAACAACAATTTGAAATGGCTATTTCAGCCTGGACCCACTGGGAAAGGACAGACGGAGCCAAAAAAGTAGGGGGAGGAAATTTATTCTCAAAACTGAAAAAAAGTGAGATATCTCATGGAAATTTCTGGACTTTTTTTTGCTCAAATCATTGGGTTTTTGTTTGTTTGCCTTTTAATCAGCCAGTAATATAACTTAACCTACAAGCTGAAACTGCCAGACAGAGAAGAAATATGCTTTCAAAGTCAGGAAGGTCAGAGAAAGGAAGGCTTGGCGAAGTAACATGAGGCTCTTCTGGATGTGGACACGGACTTGAATTTGGACATGAGAAGAGGAGGCAAGGAGAAGGACTTTGTTTTTGTATTTTTGATGAAAAAAAAAAAGACCATTTGCATGCGTTATTCTACCACCTCCCCACCCCGACTCCCCATTGCCTATTCATTCCTCTGAACTCAGCACCACAGAGCTCAGAGACAGCTGGCAAGGATGGGGCTGACATAGGCAGAGCAGATTG